ACGGCTGCTGCGGTCCATCCACAGCAGCGCTCGCGCCGCAGTGGCCGTGGTCGCCAGGGAGGTCGGGGTGGTGGCGCAGGTGGTGGTGGTGGTGTTAGTGGTAGTGACGGTAGTCCGCCTGCTGGGACTACCAGTGGTCGGCAGGAGCAGCAGCCGCCGCCGCAGCAGGAGCAGCCCGAGCCGCCGCCGCCGTCCCAGCAGCAGCCGTCGCCCCAGCAGCAGCCGCCGCAGCAGTGGGCCCGTCTCTCGCCTGGTTGGCCTGGCACCGGTGGAGGTGGTGGCCGTGGTGGCGGCCCGCGCAGCTCGGCGTCTACCAGCGGCTCCGGTGCTGTGACCTGCCAGTACCAGCTTCAGACCGGGCCTCTTCGCGGCACTATGTGTCGCCGCCCGCACCCGATTGCCCGCTGTTTTCGCCGCCTTGACGATCTTTTTCGTCGTCGCTTTGGCCCGGCCCCGGACCTCCCTGACTGGCACAGCCTGCTCCGCCAGGGCGTGCCGCTCTTTGAGTTAGACATGGATCAGATAGGTGCTGCTTTGCATGCTATGTATTCTAACGCTGCTAGTGTTGCTGGATCTTATTATCCTGTGTTCTCCAGCTTAGGTGTTGCACCCTTATGTAGCATAGCTTCCCCTGCTGCGTCAGGCGTAGGACTGCCTAGTTTGCCTAGCCCAGTCTCTGCACCGGCCCCGTTCCCGGCCTCCGCCACTGCATCGCTGTCCTTCACTCTCGACTCCGGTGCTTCTGCCTGCTTCTTCCGCGACCGCTCCGCGCTCACGCCGCTTGCTACACCTGCTGTCGTCTCTCTCGCTGACCCCTCTGCGGGTCCTGTCGTTGCTCGCAATTCTACGTCCCTTCCCTGTCCAGCAGTTCCCTCGGGCTCCCTTACAGGCCTCCACGTTCCCTCGTTATCGAGGAACCTGGTTGGTGTCGGCTGTCTCCAGGACCTTGGCGTCACCACCACGTTCCCCGGGCACGAGCGGTTCGTTGTCTGTTCTGAGGCTGTCTCAGGTTCCCCTCTTGCGACGTTCCCCCGAGACCCGGTGTCCGGTCTGTTTACCCTCGACACCGCTTCCCCCCCGGTTGGTGCGTCCTCCCAGGTCGCTGCAGCTTGCTCGTGTCGTTCCCTCACTCACCCGTCCCTTCTCTGGCACCACCGCTTAGGTCACCCTGCTCTCCCTCGTCTGCGTCACATGTCCCAGCACGGTCTTGTCTTAGGTCTCCCTGCGTCGCTCCCTGCCCTTCCTCCCTCGACTGCGCCACCGTGCACGCCTTGCGTCGAGGGCCGGCTCCGCCGTGCTCCTCACTCCTCCTCGCTGCGCCCTGCGACTGCCCCCCTCCAGACCCTGCACCTGGACGTCTGGGGCCCTGCCCCCGTCCCCGGACCGCGCGGTGAGCACTACTTCCTTGTGCTCGTCGATGATTACACGCTCTACACCACGGTGTTTCCTCTGGAGCGGAAGGCTGACGTGCCCGACGTTCTTCTACCGTGGGTTGTGGCTGCGCGTCTTCGCTGCAGTCTCCCCGTGTTGTGTCTCCACTCTGACCATGGCGGCGAGTTCGCCTCTGGTCGGCTTGGACAGTTCTGTCGTGCGGAGGGCATCACCCAGACGTACACCTTGCCGGACTCGCCACAGCAGAATGGGGTTGCGGGGCGCCGCATTGGCTTGGTCATGGAGGTTGCTCGTACCTCCATGATTTATGCTGATGCCCCCCATTTTCTGTGGCCGTTCGCTGTTCGCTACGCTGCTCACCAGCTTAACTTGTGGCCACGCTCTCAGCGGCCACAGGTTTCGCCGACCCTCCTCTGGACCGGGTCCCCTGGTGACGCGTCTGCGTTCCACGTCTGGGGCTGTCTTGCTCACGTTCGTGCCTCTGGCACGGACAAGCTCACTGCCCGCACGGTCCCCTGTGTCTTCCTTGGTTTCCCCCTCGACTCGTCTGACTGGCTGTTCTACCACCCCCCGTCTCACCGCTTCCTCCACTCTTGGACGTCACCTTTGACGAGTCTGTCTCCTTCTACCGTCGCTTCCCTCACTGCCCCTGTTCCTTGCTCCCTCTCCCCCGGTAGCCCCTGCGCCTCCCCCGCCTCGCCCTGCCCCGTCGGGTGTCTCTCACGTCACTCCCCTCCCGTCGGTTGTCCCCGTTGAGGAGTCCGCTGACTCTGGTGGTACACCTGGCCCGTCCGTGCCGTGTCCCCCTCCCCCGGTGTTTTCGCCTCCACGGTCGCAGTCGCCCCCTCTGCCGCAGCCGCTGCCGCCGTCGCCGTCGTCGCTGCTGTTGCCGCCGCCGCCGTCGCTGCCGTCATCGCTGCCGCCGCCGCTCTTGGCCCCTGCGGCTGCTCGCATGGAGGAGGGTGTTCGTCCTGCAGCTTCTGGGGGTGCCGCTGGTGTTGGAGGAGGTCCTCGCTCTGGGGGTGTTGGTTCTGGGGGTGCTGCTGTTGAGGGTTCCGCCACCGGTCGTCCTCCCTCTGCCGGTCCGAGCGTTCCGGCACAGTCGCCGCCGGTCTCCGCTCTCCGCCTGATCAGCCTTCCCTCCCCAGTCCGCTCCCCGGTGTCTTCCCCGCCGCCTGCTGACCTTCCTGTCTACGGTCCTGTGTTCCCGCCGCCAGACTCGTCTCCGGCCCGGCTTCCTCCTCATTCTCCTACTGTGTCCCCTCCACTGTCTCCTGACCCTACACCTCCGTCGCACGTTTGGTCTCGCCGTCCCTCCCGTGCTCGTCCCGTCTCTCCTGTCCTGCGCTGCCACCCTATGTTGCTCCGTTCCCACTCGTCTCATCCTCCCCTCCTCCCGTCACCTCCTCCCTCGTCCCTTGCTGTTTCGCCTCCTCCGTTCTCTGACTACCTCCGTGCCGTTCGTCCCCTTGTCCCTCGGGTTCTTGCCTCTCTTGTTACCGACCCTTCTGTTCCCGTCTCGTGCCTTGACGCGCTTGTCGCTGCTGTCGCTGACTTCGCCTCTACCCGCCGCCTTGACTACGCTACTGCTCTGGTCTCTGACCCTGCCCGTCCTCCGTCCGTCGGGGGTGCACCTGCCCTTGGCAGTGACGTTCTAGAGGACAGGCAGTACGAGCTTGCTTTCCTTTCCGAGGCCGCTCCCCATCTCTGCTCCATGCTCCTAGTCCCTGAGGGTGACCCAGACGCCTTCGACATCCCGACCCCTCGCACCTACGCTGAGGCCACTTCAGGACCCTGGGCCTCTCAGTGGATAGCTGCCATGGAGCAGGAGATGGCATCTTGGAGGTCCATCGGCACTTACGTCGACGCAGTTCCCCCACCTGGGGTGAACGTAGTCGAGGGTCGGTGGCTCTTCAAGGTGAAGCGCCCCCCAGGAGAGCCGCCTGTCTTCAAGGCGCGCTACGTGGCCAGAGGCTTCAGTCAGCCCGAGGGGGTGGACTTCTTCCAGACCTTCGCCCCGACCCCAAAAGTTGACCACTCTTCGGGCGCTGCTACACGTAGCAGCACAGCGCGACTACGAGCTTCACTCCCTCGACTTCTCTACTGCCTTTCTTCAGGGCAGCCTACATGAGCAGGTCTACCTGCGCCGACCACAGGGCTTTGCTGGTACCTTCCCCCCTGGGACCCAGTGGCTTCTCAGGCGCCCAGTCTACGGCCTGCGCCAGGCTCCCCGCGAGTGGCACGACACGCTGCGTGCCACGCTAGCAGACCTGCAGTTCTTTCCGTCGTCCTCTGACCCCTCGCTTTTTGTGCGGTCCGGCCAGACTCCGTTCTACATCCTTGTCTACGTAGACGACCTGGTCTTTGCTACTGCTGACAGGGACGCACTGGCCTCAGTGAAGGCCGAGCTGCTGAAGAGACACACCTGCACTGATCTTGGAGAGCTGCGTCGCTATCTTGGCCTGCAAAACTCTAGGGATAGAGCAGCGCGCACCATCACTCTGACACAGTCACACTTGGTGCGTCAGGTCCTTCAGAGGTTCGGCCTTCAGTTCTCCTCTGCACAACCCACACCTCTACCCGTAGACCACGGGCTCTCCGCTCCCGTTCCTGAGGAGCCAGTAGAGCCCAGCGGCCCCTACGCAGAGCTGGTGGGTTGCCTCATGTACCTGATGACTTGCACTCGCCCAGATCTCGCATACCCTCTCAGCATCCTGGCTCGCTTTGTGGCTACAGGCAGACACCGACCACAGCACTGGTCGGCCGCTAAGAGGGTTTTGCGATATCTAGCAAGTACATCCGGCATGGGGTTAGTGTTAGGAGGACGCAGGCCAGTGGTCCTCACTGGGCACACAGACGCGTCTTGGGCAGACGACTCTGAGACGCTCAGGTCGTCGCAGGGCTACTACTTTAGCCTTGGTTCGGGTGCTATCTCTTGGAGATCCACTCGCTCGTCGTCTGTTGCTCAGTCCAGCTGTGAGGCTGAGATCTACGCTGGTGCCATGGCGGCACAGGAGCTCCGCTGGCTGACCTTCTTGCTCACTGACTTAGGTGAGCGGCCTAGCTCTGCCCCGGTCCTGTACGCTGACAACAGGGCCATGATCCTCCTGTGTCAGGAGCCTCGGCTTGAGGGCAGAGCGAAGCACATTCAGCTGCGGTACTTTCTCCTGCGCGAGCTACAGCAGCGCCGCCAGGCCCGCGTAGTTCACTTGGCCGCTGGTGCCAACACAGCTGATATCTTTACGAAGGCGCTTGCGCCTAAAGATCATCAGAGGCACTGTGTACAGCTGGGTCTAGTTCCTGTAGCCTCTCACTTGCTAGGACCTTGACCTTGTACTATTCTATATATGTCTGCATATGTACTCAGACTGGACTTGTGTCCTCTCCCAGTGGCTGGACTAGTAGTGCCGCCCTGGTCTTGTTCTTGCCTTGTCTGTACTCCTTTTGACTGGTCTTTAGACCCTTGTCTCAGAGGCTGGACTAGTAGTGCCGCCCTGAGCTGCTTGTTCAGAACCTGCCCCTATGCAGTCTAGGGGGTGTGTCAAACATGTTTATCTACAATGTTTGTATAGACTGTATAGGGTCATCTCTTAGAGAGTACAACCCTTAGATATATGTCCTTATATAATTCTTTCTAGTCAATCATTATTCAGTTTTCCTTTGAGATGATACACATTCATACGATACTATGTGCTCCTATCTCATGGCTGCCCCTTATTTATTCACTCCCTGTTTGTTCCTTGCTGACTGCCTCCTCTCACTGGCCTCAATCAGTGAGCATGCGCAACATGCCCCGCCTACCCTCTCCATACTGTGCTGTACGTGCCATAGGCCGCGAAGGCCAGGCCGAAGGCAATGAGGGCAGAGTTGGACAAGATGGTTCCCCACGACGCCTCTGTGCCCAGGATCTGCAGGTGGAATGTGGCGGGCAGCACGAACGCCAGCAGCGCGCACACCGACGACCCCACGAACGCTATGAACGTCGCAAACCCTGGCACCTGCACCGCCACCATGGCCGCGGCCAGCACTATGAGCGCACGCACGGCACGCAGCAGGAAGCGACGCAGACGCGGGTAGGGCTGCACATGACGTTGGAAGGCGAGCGTGAGCATGATGCGGCGCTCAAAGATCTCGTGCACGGGGTGCATCATGACGGGAAAGGTGAAGAAGAGCCCCACGCACAGTCCCAGCTTGACTATGTCGGTGGACAGGTCGCGCGGCAGGTTGAGCGTGATGATCTCCTGCGTGCCGTCCTGGAACGCCACGTACCCCACGACGCCAAACGCGATGTAGAGCAGCGTAATGCAGAACATGCCTGCGCCCAGCACGAGAGGGAACTTGCGGCGGTCCTTCATGGACGCCTCCAGCGGCAGCGTCATGGCGAAGCCCTCGTAGCAGTAGCACGCCACGCCCAGCGCAAATGGCACCGATGCCAGGCCCGTCCACGCGTGCACCGCTGTGGGGCGCGTGAAGCTGCTGACATCATCGCGGATAACGACGGCCATGGCGAGCAGATTGGCGACATCGGCGAAGATGCTGAAGGGCGCAAGGCCCGTGAGCGAACGCACCCACGCCAGGAGAACCTGGTGGGGGGAGGGGGGGGGCAGAAGGGGTGAGGAGGGAAGAGAAGGGTAGAGGGAGGGATAGGTGTGATGTTGCCAGCAAACAACAGCACAGAGACCAGGTGGTGCATCCCCGTGCATAACCCCAGGCATCCCCGTGCATAACCCCAGGCATCCCCGTGCATAACCCCAGGCATCCCCGGGCGCTGACCTGCAGCGGCGAGAGCAGCAGGATGACGGTGGTCCTGACGGAGGTGCCCGGCAGCGACGGCCACCCCGCGAGGATGGAGGCGAGGTTCTCGCCCACGAAGATGAGGTACGCCACGCAGCACCCGCCTTGCGACACCAGCACCAACACGTCCACCGCACGCTGCCCCACCTGGGGGAAGAGAGGAGAGGGGGGGGGGAGTGGGGAGGAAGAAGATGGCTGCATGAACAGGCGAGAAGGATTGGTGTGAGAGGTGAGGCATGGGCGCAGTGGCTGATCCCACAGGCAGCAGGGCAGGGCATGGCTTGCGGCGTGGGGGGGGAGGGTGGTGCGCAATGTGAGGTGAGGCGCATAGAGATAGGGTTGGGGGCGGCAGGGAGAATGAGGAATGGTCATGGGTACGAGAAACGAGAGGGATCACGTGCACGGCCGCGTCAGTGTGCGCAGGTGAGTCCAGGCACGGCGACTGCAGGATGAGAAAAGTCGTGGGCAAACGGGAGGCGATAGTGAGATGCACTCCGAGATGCACTGCAGTATCAACGGGAATCGCAAGGCACGCACGTCCGGCAGCAGCGTAGCGCGCGCCGTACCTGCCCGCACGCGTGGTACCCCAGGTCGCCGTACGTGTTGATGCTGCCGTGGCCCCTCTCCGCCACTAGGCGGCGACACCGCACCTGGCACAGTGGCGCGGGGACAAAGGGAAAAGAAGTGGTGCGCAGAGCGGAGACACGGGCAGGGGGCGTTGATGGGCACAGGTGGAGCGGTGCTACAACCTACCGCCCAAAACAGCGCCTCTCCGCACTCCCATTCTTCCCAGCCTCCCAATCCACCCCTTCCTACCCCCCCCCACACCAGCAGCATCATGCAGTAGTAGCTGAGCGACGCGCTGCCGGCGATGGCGCAGGACCCCACGAGCCAGCCCGCCTGGCGGAACGTGAACGGCAGCCCCAGCACGCCCGCGCCCACGATCGAGATCACCACGTTGCCCAGCGCCCGCCGCGCCGACCCCACATGCGCCACCTCGCCGTGCCCCTGCACCCCCGCGCGCCCGTCACCATCCCCGTCGTGATGGTGCACCTGCGCATCCCCCCAGTGCCCATCGCACACTCGCGCCTCCCCCTCGCCATCCCCGCCCTCCTGCTCGTGTCCGTGTACCGGACCGCGGCCCCCGTGCACCGCAATGTGCGCCTGGCCCTGCCTGCTCGAGTCGCGAGCGTCTACCGGTGATAGGGTTGGATGCGGTGCGGATGGATGCGGCTCGGCTGCCTGAAGCAACGGAGTCGTCGCTGAGGGCGACCGCAAGTCGCGTGCGCTCATGGCGAGTGATGGAAAGAGAAGCGTTACGCCAGGCTCGAGTCGACGGGTGGGAGTGTCAGGGGACGGATGGGCCGGAACGCTACTGCGAGGAGAGTGCGATGGGGCTTGTTTACACTATCCCTACCCTTCATCAAGCAAATGAAAGCAGTAAGTTGGCGGTGCCATGCTCTACGATCCCTGTGCGCTGCTTCGGGGCAATTCCATCCGCCTCTCTTTCTGCTCATCACCTCACCACCACCACCACTGTGGGTGGGCCAAAAGGAAGGAGACTGGTGGCGGAGCTGCACGCGTGAACGCGTGAGAAAGGGGGATGGGGAGGACAGGTTCCACTTGTCGAACCCCAATTGCTCTGCGAAATACGGTCGCCTGTCCCTGCGAAAACAAAAAACGTGGTTACACGAGCTGACGAGTAGGGGTAACCTCCATAACGGCGGAAGTGGAAAGACAGAAGGGCGCCGTCACGAAAGTGCCCTGCTGGTAACAGAGCGCCACGTGGTATTGATCGATCCAGCGTCTCAAAATGACGTGGAAGGAGAACTATATGACGGAGAAAGGTCGGACTCTGCGCTTTTGCCTCCATAATTCTAGGCGCGTGAGAGGGAGGGATGCTGGCAAGGGATTACACCTATTCTTGATTACAGCGAGCGGGTTACAAAGGACCACAGATGTTATGAGTGATAAACCAGTGTAGCGCGGAATCGAATGTTGAAGTTGTGAATCATAGAATGCCGATACAATGAAATGACGAAGCAAGATATAAGAATACGGTAGCAATGTGTAATGCACAGGTTTGGGGAAGGCATCCAAGGACGCGGAGCACTTCGGGATGACGCGGAAACGGTTCGGAGTAACATGTACGGGACAGAACTGGGGCTGAGTCACGTATCGTGTACTGGTGGTGTACGCGCTAGCAGTGTGGTGCGCCAAGGAATGGAAATTTCCTTACCCAATTCCCCCTTTTAGCGAAGGTGGTCTAAATCTCAGATGTGCTTATATGATAAATAATCCCCAAGTACAGAAGGTGAATGTATATGTACCAAGGGAAGGGAACTTAGTGTCGTCCTCGTTGGTATGCTTGGTCCATCGTATCAAAAAGTTGCGTATCGTCCCCGACCATCGATTTTCACGCGATGACTCAAGATTTTCGATGGCTCGATGAGTGTCTCTTCGGCTGGCCATAGACCATGGGCAATCGTCTCCAGCGTCGGGCAGTCGAACTTGGGTGGTCATGGGTGTCAACATTTAGATAATTTTGAAAGGTCCACACTAGCAAATGCGTGATTTTGACGGTATATACAGGAAAAGGTTATTGGTGTCGAGAAGGACTGATTTCCCCACTGTCATGGTAACATGACGCCTGTAGCAGCTGTCGTCTTGGCAGGCGGTAACGTTAGTTTTTTGGAATAAATCCGAGATTTCAGCGTCGTCAGTTAGTTTAAAGCCGTTGACCCAAAACGTGCAAGATTAATAATCATGATAGGGCTAAAAGTTGGGCACGGCAGCGAGCAGGGGCGTGGTGTTAAAATTATATAAGTTATAATTTATATAGGCTTGGTAGGTTGTTACTGAACCTTTTCTGTAGAGGGTACAAACCCCTCCTTGTACTCCTCTCTCTTCCTAATCCAACACTCTTTCCTCTCGACATTTTCCTACTCTCCTAGCTAAACCCCACCGCCACAACCATGGCTGCCTTCTTTCACTTCCTCCTAGCCTAGTGCTACTTTATCATGGTATCAGAGCAGGACGTCCTGCCTGGGCCTGCTCCCCTCCGTGCTTCCGCTGCGTTCTCGTTCACTGCCTTCCGACTTCCTGCCGTGCCGCCGTGGCGGCCATGCCCGTTCCTGCCGTGCCGTCGCGTCGTGACGCGTGACGTCGACGCCACACTGCTGTGACGGCGCCGTGCTTACCGTCGCAGCGGCGACGTCCCACCGCTGCATCGACACCGCGATGTGTCGGCGTCGTAATGCTGCCGTGGCAGCGTCGTCGGACGGCAGCTTGCCGCGCGACGTTCATGGCGCCGCCACACCTGCTGCCCGCACGCCAGCCTCAAGCGTGAGGCTGGACCACGCCCCACCCCCCTTCCCCTGTGTCCTGTATCTTGCCGCAGCCGACGGCTGACTCCCGCCGGCCGTCCCACCGTCGCGGGGCCTGGCCACGTCACCGAGAGGTGCGGGTGCCGCCGCCGCCGCCGCTGTTGTCGAAGCCGCCGCCGCCGCCGCTGTCGCCGCTTGCGTCGGGGCCACGCAGCCGCACGCCGCCACCGCCGCCGCTGTCGACACTGCCGCCGCTGCCGCCGTCGCCGCCGCAGCCCCTGCGGTCGACGTCGCTGCCTCACGCACCGTGGGGTCGACCGACCTAGTGTCGCTGTCCCTGTGGCTGGAATTTGGGTGCTAGGTTAGGGGGTGTGTGGTGTGTTGGGTGGGTGTGTGACTACCAAGCCTAGGGGGTGTGTTAAAATTATATAAGTTATAATTTATATAGGATTGGTAGGTTGTTACTGAACCTTTTCTGTAGAGGGTACAAACCCCTCCTTGTACTCCTCTCTCTTCCTAATCCAACACTCTTTCCTCTCGACATTTTCCTACTCTCCTAGCTAAACCCCACCGCCACAACCATGGCTGCCTTCTTTCACTTCCTCCTAGCCTAGTGCTACTTTATCACGTGGAGCAGTGGTGCGAGGTGGCAAGTGTGGTTCGCCAAGGAGCGAACATCGCAACACCCTACGCGAAAACCAACCCATTGCACGAAGAGCAAACACCAATCAGCACGCGTGAAAAAATGTGCTATAAAACCCGGCGCCCAAAGTAAAAGGATGAAGGGGGAAACCTGATGGCGGAAAAGGGACAGGAGGGGCGCGCAAGGTGCAGAGGGGGGGGAGGAGGAGAACACCGAAAACAACGAGCACGACAAACTACAAACTGCGGGGTCAAGGAGGGTAGCAAGCGGTGGGTATCTTGGCAATGCAAAATGAATTTGGTGAGCAACTAAAAAGGCTGTGAGTGAGAGAACAATACCACCAGCCGCCACACCACTCTGCCCGCAGCAGCACACAGCATATAAACAAGGCATTGGGAAGATCATGTAAGGAACGAGCGGCATACAAAGAGCTCAAACGGCTGCAACGGCGCAGGAGACAGGATAGTCGCGGACCCGCCTAACGCATGAAGGCAGCGCGTCGCAAAGACTAGCGCTGATCGCGGAAACGGTCCCGAAGCGCACATGGCCCGCAAACGGCAGAAACCGCAAGGACACAGGTGAGCGTTTGCTAGCCCGCGAGGGAGACAGAAATGAGAGCCAGGCTGAAATGAAAGAAGGGGAAAAAAAAAAAAAAAAAAAAAAAAAAAACCACGGGACGGCCGCCAAAAGCGCGACGCAAAAATCACTAAGCGCCACTGGCCATAGGTGCGAACCATACATGCGAGGGCGCTGCCTACCACCACACGCGATGGGGGCCCGCACGGATTAACGCGCAGTGCCTTGTACCCCTCACACGTTCCCAAGGTGAGGCAGGGAGATGCGCAAGTGGGGAGCAGGGAGAAGTGTCAAAGCGAGGCAAGGAGATGAGCTATGGGGGGGCAGGAAGAAGGTCAAGGTGGGGCAGGGAGATGAACAAGGGGGGAGCTGAGAGGACTGTCAAGATGGGGCAGGGAGATGAACAAGGGGGGAGCCGTGGGGAGTGTCAAGCGGAGGCTGAGAGGTGAGCAACAAGGGAGCAAAGACGAGTGTCAAGCTGATGCAGGAGGGGGGAGCAGGGGCCGGGCAGAGATGAGGGTCAAGGTGAGGCAGGAGTGAGGAGCAGGGGGGAAGCAGAGAGGAGTGTCGTAGTGATGCAGGAAGGCGTGCAAGGGGGGAGCTGAGAGGAGTGTCAAGGTGATGCAGGATGGGGGAGCAGGGGGGACACAGAAAGGAGTGTTAAGATGAGGCAGGGAGACGGGCAAGGGGGGAGCATAGACGAGTGTCAAGGTGATGCAGGAGGGGGGAGCAAGGGGGAAGGCAGAGAGGAGTGTCAAGGTGATGCAGGAGGGGGGAGCAGGGTGGAAGCAGAGAGGTTTGGAAAGTTAGGACGTTTGGAAGTTTGGCTGAGGGTTTGGAAGTTTGGCTGAAGGTTTGGAAGTTTGGCTGAAGGTTTGGAAGTTTGGCAGAAGGTTTGGAAGTTTGGCTGAAGGTTTGGAAGTTTGGCTGAAGGTTTGGGAGTTTGGCTGAAGGTTTGGATGTTTGGCTGAAGGTTTGGAAGTCTGGCAGAAGGTTTGGGAGTTTGGCTGAAGGTTTGGGAGTTTGGCTGAAGGTTTGGAAGTTTGGCTGAAGGTTTGGGAGTTTGGCTGAAGGTTTGGAAGTTTGCCTGAAGTTTTGGAAGTCTGGCTGAAGGTTTGGAAGTTTGGCTGAAGGTTTGGAAGTTTGCCTGAAGTTTTGGAAGTCTGGCTGAAGTTTTGGAAGTTTGGCTGAAGGTTTGGGAGATTGGCTGAAGGTTTGGAAGCTTGGCTGAAGGTTTGGAAGTTTGGCTGAAGGCTTGGAAGTTTGGCTGAGGGTTTGGAAGTCTGGCTGAAAGTTTGGGAGTTTGGCTGAAGGTTTGGAATTTGGCTGAAGGTTTGGGAGTTTGGCTGAAGGTTTGGAAGTTCGGCTGAAGGTTTGGGAGTTTGGCTGAAGGTTTGGGAGTTTGGCTGAAGGTTTGGAAGTTTGCTGAAGGTTTGGAAGTTGGCTGAAGTTTTGGGATTGGCTGAAGGTTTGGGAGTTTGGCTGAAGGTTTGGAAGTTTGGCTGAAGGTTTGGAAGTCTGGCTGAAGGTTTGGAAGTTTGGCTGAAGGTTTGGAAGTTTGGCTGAAGGTTTGGAAGTTTGGCTGAAGGTTTGGGAGTTTTGCTGAAGGTTTGGAAGTTTGGCTGAAGGTTTGGAAGTTGGCTGAAGGTTTGGGAGTTTGGCTGAAGGTTTGGAATTTGGCTGAAGGTTTGGGAGTTTGGCTGAAGGTTTGGAAGTTCGGCTGAAGGTTTGGGAGTTTGGCTGAAGGTTTGGAAGTTTGGCTGAAGGTTTGGAAGTTTGGCTGAAGGTTTGGAAGTTTGGCTGAAGTTTTGGGAGATTGGCTGAAGGTTTGGGAGTTTGGCTGAAGGTTTGGAAGTTTGGCTGAAGTTGGTTTGGAAGTTTGGCTGAGGATTTTGGCTGAAGGTTTGGAAGTCTGGGCTGAAGGGTTTGGGAGTTTGGCTGAAGGTTTGGAAGTTTGGCTGAAGGTTTGGAAGTTTGGCTGAAGGTTT